ATCTATCTATCTATCTATCTATCTATCTATCTATCTATCTATCTATCTATCATATTTTCCTTGTTATATATCTGTCTATCTATCTATCTATCTATCTATCTATCTATCTATCTACATAGAGAAAGAAAAAGAGAAACCAAGACAGACATAGAGACATATTGTAACTGGTCCACATTGTTGTGGAAGTTGACAATCCTCAGCAAACTAGAGACTCAAGAAAGGCAATATTTCAGTTCAAGTCCAAATATAGGAAAAAAACTGATGGCCTTCATTAAGTCAATACAGCAGTTCCCTCTTATTCGGTTATCTTGTTCTATTCAGGCCTTTAATCGGGTTAGATGCAGTGCTGAATTGGAATAGAAAATGGGTTTATAAAACCTGCCATTTCAAAGCTTAATCTCAACCCCAAATATTGTCATACTCAGAATTAGGTTTTACCAAATATCTGGATACCCATGGCTTGGTTACATTGACACATAACATTAACTATCTTCCTGTCAAAATCATCTACTCTGGCATACCAAATTATAATGATGATTAAAACTGTTAGACCAGATTCATTGTAGGGGCTATACATTTCTAAAGGAAGATGGCATGCAATCGCTTAAAGCCAGTCCTAAGATCTTGCTAGATGTGGAGATGGGAGCAGAAAGAAGAGAATGAGAATGAAGAATGAGTTCTGACCCAAATGGGCTGGAAAAAAAGAGAAGCTGCCTTCTTTTCTGCACACCTAAGGATTTTAATTTCACATTCAAATGAGTCCCATTGCCAGGACATTTCTGAGAAAGAGTTCTTGAGTTTCTGAAAAAATTCTATAGGCAGTTAATAGAGAGACCAGGGCTTCATCCTGGAAGAAGGTGCAGATAATTTTTTGAATCCCATACCATTCCTTTTAGTTTGTTAGATTTTTTTTTAATCTGGAGAAATGAAATATCAGTTTGCAACAAACACTAATATTCAAATAATAGTAATAATAATTGTCAACAGATGTTTCTTACTTACTCTGTATCAAGCCCTATGTTAATCAGTATTTTGGCGAACCACATTCAGGGACATTCTTTGCTTAGCTGAAACACTTGTGATTTGAAACATGGGCTTGGCAGAATTGCTCTCCTTCATCCTCAAAGCTTACAAATGGACACTGTACCAACCCATTGAAGGGTACTTTACATTGTGAGCAATGTCTCCTTTTTCTTCTTGGCTACCATTTGCTAAGCACTTTATTCAATATACTAAATTCTTCATGACTTAATATCATTTGGTCCATACAGTACTACCATACAGTACTTAACATCCATTTTATAAAGAAAATCTTGACTTCAAAGTCTATGCACTTAAGAATTGCCCTACTTGTTTGTTTAACTATTCCAGAAATATTAACTAAAAGCCTATCACATTTTGTTGATTTCTAAATCAATTTCAACATTTCCACTTTTGTGGCTTTTATGATCTAATAAGAAAAATCGTACTATATTTCAAGTGCTGATTTCCATTTCAAATAAAATGTCAAACCAAGTAAAAAAGATGTTTCTACTATATATGAGAATTTGCCTCACTTGATAAACTATGGCTGGAGCAAGCCCTGTGCACACAAATGTTCATACAGAAGTCAGATGGAACTAAGATTGCAGCAGGCACAGGGGCCTTCAGTTGGGAGCATGCTTTGATTGATTGTTGATTCTAAGAATGTCAAGAACAGACATCGGAAAGCTGGTCTTGAGCCAGATTCTTTTGTTTGTTTGTTTTTTCACTTTGAACAATCGAGGGCTTTTAAATTTTACTTTGAAATAGGAGGTTTCAGGGCAAAGGAGGGTTCAGGGCAAAGGAGGGTTCAATGGCATGACATCTTTGAGTTTCTGAGAAAACATTATAGCTAGTCTACAGAAAATAACAATAGGGTGACAGAAAATCAGGAAAGTACTGAGAAGAGACTCTAATGGTCCCACTAACTGATGATGGTGACTCACAGTGACCTGAAGTGTCAAGAAGTTGTGAGAGTTCAGATCTCTCACTTCATGTTTATTGGGTACCTGAATTTCTAGGTGCTAGGTCTGTATTACTAAAGAGAGCTGGTAATGGTTCAAATCTTTATAACTTTATGTTCAACCAGTGAGATGCAAGCAACACATGAAACACTAAAGAGAAGCGGATATCTAGAATGCTAGGTGATAATGACTATATTTTACTTCAACTTGGGACTAAAGAGATGGCATATTAAAGAAAAATATGTACAGCATCCACACCAGGTGGCTGACAACTGCCTGTAACTCCAACTCCAGGAAATCCAACACCTCTGGCCTCCTTGGCAACCTGCTTACACGTGAATATGCCCACATGTGGGTGCACGCACCCACACACACAATTTTCAAATATTAAATCTTTAAAAGGTGGGTTGTTAGCAGATTGAAATTCTAAATAGAGAGTTAGAGTGGGTTCTATTGAGGAGGTGACATTTGAATAAAGACTTTAAGGAGACAGGGGAAATACACTTGTAGGTATCTTGGAGATGCATACAGCAGGCAAAAAAAATAGGTGATATAAAGCTCCAGAGGCAAGATGTGACTGACAGGTCCAGGTAGATACAGAGTTAACACGGAGGTAAGAATGCAGGAGAGGAGCTTAAGGAATAAGAAAATACAATAGCAGAAGGAGACAATGCATTGTTCTATGGGACATTTAAAGCTTAGGATTTAACTTGGAGTGACATGGAGTTTACTATAGGATCTGAGCTTATTAGTAGTGAGATTTATAAGATTCTGAAAGAATCCTCATTTTTTTCTGTTAAAAACCAAACATAAAGGGAGTCTGTAAAAGTGATGTCATGGGTAAGAGACAACAATGGTACTCTAGCTTCAGTGAGAGCAATGGAGACTGATTTGGAACAGGTATACTTTTAATATAAAAAGGATCTTCTGTATGGTTAGGAGAGAAATGTGAAAGAGAAACATTAGTTAGATACAACCAAGATTTTGGTCAGCATAACTGGCAAAATCTAGTGAGTAACTATTGATTTCAGCTGGGAATTCCAGTTTGGAAATGCTATAGCTAGAATATTTGTGGGCTACAGAAAACACAGTATGTGTTAAGTTCCTGCTACACAGTTTAGCATAGCAGTCAGGAAATCAGCTTAATATCAACTCTTGACATGTACGGGAACTCTCTATCAGAAACAAACTTGAAAGTAAGCCATTCTCAGAGCCAGACGCTACTTAAACCCATACAACTAGATATAAACATCTGGGGAATGAAGCTACCTAAGAGAAGATGTTTCTGAAGTGAAAAGAAGACGGAAAATTCTAGAAAACCAATTTGAAAACACATTATAAGTGAGGATAGAGAATGCTATTTCCAGTTGTGGTAACAAGTATCCTAACCACGACTGTAAGGGTGAATAAAATATACTATAATCAAAAACCAGTGTCAGGCATTGTAGTTCATCCATATGGCCATAGCACTTCAGATGCAGAGCCAGCATTGTTTCTGGATCAAGCCAAGTTAAACTACACAGTAAAAATCCTGTGCAAGCCCAGTCTAGACAAAAATCCCAGCATGGAGTGGGAAGTTGGATACACAGTCCCACCCCTAGTCTTAGAATGATTGGCCATTATTAGCTGCTGGGAAAGGAATGGTCAGATTTTCTTAGAGTGTAACTCCTAACAAGCTCACCATGCTCCAGTAGAAGGACATACATCCAACAATATTTTGAGGATAGAGAATAACCTGAGAGTTTTAAAATGAAATAAAATCTTTCCTCCCAAGTTGCTTTTGATCATAGTGTTCTATCACAACAACAGAAACCATAACAAAAACATCTTGCATAAAAATTAATCCCAACTGGACTGAAGAATTCACAATGTAAAATTTTAACACAACAAATATGTACCAAGATATGAGGAAATGTCACTAAGTGGTAGATAGGAGAATATTTTTATCATGAGGGGGTAAAGATTTCTTAATGGGCCACAAAGTTAGTAACTGAAACCACAGGTTCTTAAAACTAAAACTGCAATCAGATGACACTAGCAAGAAAGCAATAAACAAACAAACAAACCAGGAATTTGCAACATATAGATTTGACAATAGACATATCCAGAATATAGAACTATAAAAAACAAAGAAGACCTATATAAATGTTTATTAAGGGGAAATTACCTGAATAATGACTTCCCAGGAAAAATTGGAAAAGTTATAATTTGACATTTAGATGTCTAGAAATGTGTGGCAAAACCATATTCTTAATGTGACCAGCCAAGATTAATTTAGACTTTATTTTTGGTTATTGAATTTGATTCAAAATTCCAGTACAGAGTACAGGGTACATTAAGCTTAAGATCACTGACACAGATTATGTCTGAAGACACAATTGCAAGAATGTAGGCTGACAGAAGCTGAGTAGCTCACCATATGATCTAGTTCCAGAGAAGGAACCAGAACACCAATCAGGAATAAGGAATAGAAGCAGAAACTCAACTCTCCTTTCCCATGGAATGCATGCATTCAAATCACATGGACAAGGATGCCCAAGTCACTGTTCAGAATTGACTTGTCGGCAAGTGGGTTTCCTCAAGATGATCACAAAACTCAGGCTATTTCCAATACTCTGATTACCCTCCAGAACTTGATGGTCAGACCCTGTTGCTGAAGACACCACATACTTGAATCACAGAACATAGAGAAAGCAAGCTGATACTGACCTTCATCTCTACTGGCTAGCTTTCATAGTACTAGAAGATGTCTTAGAAGATACCAGAGGAGAAACAAGGAATCATTCATACCCAGCTGTGACTTCTGTGAGCTACAGTAATGACCAGCTTAGGAAGACATAACACTGGTCCAGTAGTGGCATGAGTCTTATGAGAACAACCAATCATTTTCTGATTGAACTCATGGCCCCACTCACAAAATGAAACTCATACCTGCCACCATTAGCAGGCCAAGAGTCTATGGATAGACAGATCACAGACCCTGTACAAGAACTTATTCCTATCATTCTGCCTTATAGAAATAGTATTAACCTATCTCCTAATGACATTATCCCCGTAGATTAAGGTATCTCTGAACCTTCATCAGAGATGCTTCTGTTTGCAGTAGACCATGATAAACAAAGTTACCCACAACTAGTCAAGGTATAGAGAATAAGAGACTATAAAATACCCAACTCTAAATAAAACATATGTACCACACTTGCCCCTCCAAACTCAGGCATCATTGTATAAAGAACAATAGAAACAGATGTTTTGGATAACTGCAACAAAATAGTGTCCTTTGAATGCATCATGGGAGTTGCACATATGAATCCTCATCGGTCATGAAAGCATGCATAAGATCTGTGAAAACTCAAGCTATACCAAATCCCAGCACTGACTGGGGAGTTAGACATGAAGTCTCACTCCTGGCACTGAAGGTACTGGCAATCATTAGCTTCTGGGAGAGGAAAGATCAGTGTTCTCTAAGAGTGTAGTTCCTGATAAGTGTGCTCTACTCCAGTGGAAGACCACAATCCAAGTATATTTGGAAAATACAAATTGGCCTTATGAGAAAGTAAAAAGACAAACTTGGGTGAAAGTGAAAGAGGAGTATCTGGAAAGACTCAGAGAAGGAGTGGTTAATGTTATCAAAATATAACGTATAGAATTCTCAAAGAACTAGCACAGGCACACACACAGAGTGGTAGGAGGGAGGAGAGAAGAAGAAGGAAAAAAAGAGAATGGGGGGAGACTATCAAGGAAATGGGAAGCATTTTCAATAAACCTTAAACAAGCTCACAATGAGATACAACTATGTATAGACAATAACAAGTTCTGATGAGGATGTGGAATACCTGGAACACTCCTAGCCAAGTGGTAGAAATGCTAATTGATGCAGCCCATTGGGAACCTCATGACTACAGCAACAAAATATGTTATTATGACTGATAAAGGCATTTGGGAAACATTAGGGATGCCACTAATACTCTATACTTTGATTTGTATAATGACTGCATATATATTTTTACTTTATAAAACTCATTCACCATGTACATTTAACATTTAGGACACTATTTTATTTCAACAAAATAAGTATCTGTAAGGAAGGTTTGGAGGCTGAAGTATATAAATACATTAAGTAGCTGATGTAAAATAAATGTTAGATTTGTGGAAATCTTTGGTAACTTTGATCATGACAGTCTGAGTGGAATGACTAGGACAAGAGCTAAACGGAGTGAATTCAGCAGAAAATAAGAAGGAGAGATGCACATCCACTAGGTAGAACATTGAAGACCCCTAGGGATTCCTGAAACCACTTCATATATACTATACAACATATAATATTTCCCTATACACATGAACGGTGAAATTCAGTCTATAAATTAGGCACTGAAAAGATCAATAGCAATCATTGCAGTAGAGCAATTGCAACTACATGCTTCCGTAAAATTTCACTAGTCTTGTGCTTTGGGCCACTGTTAAGTAAAATAAGGCAGACTTGAATACAAGTAGCTCAGTGGTCATTCTGATGACTGAGAAGGCTACTAGGTAATGAATGATTGTGTGACATATATAATGCAGACACGCTGGGCAGAGGAGTGACACCTTCCTACAGGAGACAGGGGAGGGTGGTGTAGCATCACTTAATGTTATTCAAAATGGCACACAATTTAGAGCTTAGGGATTGCTCGTTTATACAATGTTTGAACTGGATGACCACAGGAACTAAAACTTTGGTAGGTAAAACTATGGGCAATTGGACAAGTACGATGTTACGTCTTCCGTGATTGTGAAATATCCACCTTTTCTTTCTTTCACGCTCTGAGCCTCTCTTGTTCATTTCTCAATATCAGTGCTTTGGATACTGTACTTTCTATGTGTGAAAAACCTTCATGAGTCCATTCAGTAAGAAGCAAAGGAACAAATCTGGAAAGGGTCCAGCATCCCCCACAGATATGAGATTAGAACGATACAGGGTGAAGTTTTCAAATATTAACAAAACTTACTATTTTTAAAAGTGTCTAAAATGAAGAAACTGATTTTGATGCAGTCGATCTAGACGGAGGCCAGAATGTGCTGCACAGATCATAAACATATTTGATGGTATTGACCTAAGACATCTTATTAAGGGATAGTCATATGTTACGTACAATCAGACGATGAAGAAAGACTGGGTAGGCAGAATTGAGAATGATTTCTGACTACATCTTCAGAGATCTCATTCAGATAAACTCTGAGAACTCTGGGTCATGTTCTTTTTCTACCATGAAAGTCCTATGTGCTATAGACTTGTAAGAAACATAAAAATTTAATGATAAACATTAATTTTTCTTTTTTGTTTCCCCATTTTCACTCTTTCTCTGATCCTTTATATTCTTCTCTTTTTCTTCTTTTCTCATTATTTCTTTTTCTATGTTTTTTCTTTTCCTCTGTTTTCTTCACTTCTGCTTATTTTTTATCATTTCCTCCCCATTCACCTTCCCACCCTCATTTTCTCTCTCCCTTCCATTCTCAGATAGAGAAAAGGAAATTCAGCCACAACTCTAACTCCACATGGTGTATCTTCATGGTCAACAAGCCCTATGCCATCACCTGCTCTGTGGTGGCCTTCTACATCCCGTTTCTCCTCATGGTGCTGGCCTATTACCGTATCTATGTCACTGCTAAAGAGCATGCCCAGCAGATCCAGATGTTACAACGGGCAGGAGCCACCTCTGAAAACAGGCCCCAGCCAGCTGACCAGCACAGCACACATCGCATGCGGACAGAGACCAAGGCAGCCAAGACTTTATGTGTCATCATGGGCTGCTTCTGTTTCTGCTGGGCCCCCTTCTTTGTCACCAATATTGTGGACCCCTTCATAGACTACACTGTCCCGGAGAAGGTGTGGACTGCTTTCCTCTGGCTTGGCTATATCAATTCAGGGTTGAACCCTTTTCTCTATGCCTTCTTGAATAAGTCTTTCAGACGTGCCTTCCTCATCATCCTCTGCTGTGATGATGAACGCTACAAAAGACCCCCCATTCTGGGCCAGACTGTCCCATGTTCAACCACAACCATTAATGGATCCACTCATGTGCTAAGGTGAGTGCTTAAGAAGGGGATCACTCTGGTTGGTTTGCGTTGCCCATCAGGGGTTGGATCCAGTTTTGCTCTAAGGAGTTATTCCTGAAAACTCGTATAGTGTTTTCCAAGATTCATGTCCATTCTGCCATCTAACCATGGAATCAATTAGTGGGCAAGGACTCAGGCTCTGTTGGGAGATTGACTTGCAGTCATACCCATAGTTCTTTGACCTTGGCTAATGACCTTGGATCACTAACAGTTCTAAGTTTTAATTACCCTTTTTTAAAAATTGTAACCACTGTATGTAGATGCCAGGGCATTTATGAACATCCAGTGAGCTAATCTGTGTGGCACTCATAGTGCAGTGGTTGAGCCCAGCAAACTCTTAGAGAGAGTAAGTGCTGTCCACTACTATTCACAGATAATGTTTTAGATAGCAGCTAAAAGCATGGTCTTTAGAAAGCAATCGAAGCTTAATTTTGATCCTCCCAGTACCTACTAACCATCTTCTGAATCTTCCTTGGATTTACTTTTTTTTTCAACTATAAAAATGTCAATAACACTACTACATTCTAATTTGGTTTTGTGACCATAAATGATATTGTGTTTGTAGGACTTAGCACATAGTATGCCCATTAGTACTACTAATTGTACTAATATTAGTTTAACTAGTAGTAATTGTATATTGTCCAAAAGCCTAAATGAGATGATAAAACTAAAATAAACTGAGCAATATGTGTGCAGTAGTAAATGCTATGTAACAAATTATACAGTGAGGAGTGGGGAACTACGATAGAGATCTGAGGAGGAAGGACAGTGATTTGGCACATGGGTAGACTTCACAGAACTGCAGTTTGTAAGAAGTTGAGATAAGGGAGAAAGACTAGGGAAGCCATTCCAGGCAGATAGAGCAGCAGAAGGAAGAAAGAGGAAAACCTAAGAGCACCTGGATGGTAGGGACTTACCAAGGTCACACAGGCTGCTGGAGGTAGGGGTGACACTGGAGGTAAATGTTCATGTCTAAGGTACTTACCAAGGTCACCTGGCTGGTGGAGGTGAGTGACACTGGAGTTTAGCGTCATGATGCACTGTCCCACACACAGAGAGCCTTTAGGTGTGAATTGTTCTCAACTGTGAAAAGTTACAGGCACAGAACCTTCATCCTGTGGCAAAGATTAATTATCAATAATATATTGTTCTTTGCTCTGAGATCCATAAGGATTTTTGAAGAATACTTCCTTTTTTGAGTTAAGCACTTCTTTTACTTCTCTTTATTTTTGGTATTTATATAATTTTATCATTTATTAAAAACAGAATAGATATACTTGTTTATTTTCACATAAAGAACACTTGATGTTGTGGGAGTATCTTTGTTTCTCAGAGTTGATCAATACCTCAATTTTATCATATTCAGTAACTAGTGAGCAGTTTTGTTTTGTTTTGTTTTTGATGATGATCATATGAAGTTGTTCTAGCATCTGAAACTTGGGGGTTTTCATTTATATGCTTGAGAGAAGAGGAGCAGGCTTAAATTGCTATGAAGTATAAACGATAGACCTCAGAGGCTGCTCAGAAGCATCAATTCATCAGTGTGTGCAGACTTGCAGTGGTAGCCTAACACAGCGTTGGAGCTGCAGCTGGTAGAAGGGCCTCGAAGGATACTCTGACAGCCCAGTGTTCTCTTCATTATTATGGAGGGAGTGGTATCGGAGGAAAAAATCCAACTATAGAATGTGCACAGAATGTGTGTGTGTGTGTGTGTGTGTGTGTGTGTGTGTGTGTGTGTGTAGGGAGCTTTAGCTATTTAAGCTGGGAATTGCATAAGTGCAGGCTGTCGGCAACTTAAAACAGTGTGTGCCTCCAGCAACACACTTGGTAAGTCTGTTGTTTCTCAAGTTGGTGGCTTTTTAGCTCAGGTACTGTCACAGAAAAGATTTGGACACTCTGCGACAGTTGAAGATGATCTGTTTTGCTAATATTGTACTGTTTTTCTCTGATTCTTTGGTCGCCTGTATAAGCAAACAGACTGTTTTGGAGAGCTATGAACGTATTCTCCGTGTGGTCTTCCTTACACATCTTCATGGTATGAGAAAGAGCAGGAGGTTACTTTGAGGCGTTCTGTGGGGAAGAGAATCATATAGAATTCTAGTCTTGATTTTGCCTCTTAAAAACTATATAGATGCTATAGCTGGCTTTTTGCTTCTTTGTGGTTCTTCTTTCTCCCACACCTCTCCATTCCTTTTCTTCTATCCCTTCAACCCCCTAACATGAGATAAGAGAGAAAAGGGAATAAAGAGGAAAGAAAAGCAATCCCTGAATAAAGTTGGAGGTTAGGAAGGGACAACATTATCATTAGACTACTCTCTGCTGAAGAGGGACATCAAGTTCCTTGGGGCAAGTTTGATTTTTGTTGTTAGGATATCTAATTTCTTCTTTCTTCTTTGTGAATGACTATTTAACAGGGCACAGAACAGCACCCAACACCCAACTGATCCTCCACCTCTAGGGATCCTAACATTTATATACCCTCTGAGAAGTCCCCCAGAATTCCCAGCATCACAAAATTACAGAAACAATCTGTAGCTAACAAAATCATCCCCCTGCTGGAGCGTGAGGCAAATCATAGTCAGCTGCTGTGGACAATCTGAAGTAGCCTCATATCCCACACCTGGGATTAAAGGAAAAACATATCCTTATAATATTTGTGTGTTTTTTTTTTAAGAAATCAAAATTCTCACAACAAGGCAACAACTTTCCTGAGTCTCTCTTAACTCACTCAGAACAAGAGGAATAAACAGAGTTCTCAGTGACTGGCATGGTATCCATTAGCTACATATGATTAGTTAAGTAATAGTTTAAATATATTGTAAGATACAAAATGATGCTATATAATATTTTATTTATTATTTAATCATCTCATACCTACAAACTAAGTATTTTGGTCATAGTCACCCCGTTCTTCTCCTACCCCCTTCAACCTTCTATTAGCCCTCATCCCCTTCCGATTTTATATCCTCCTTTTATTCTTGATAATACACAGACATAATTTGTGACGCTCAAATACTCACATGTGCAGGGCCATCTACTGTGTTTGACCTACCAGAGACCACACCCTTAAAGAAAACTAACTCTTCCTCTCCTAGAATCCATCAACTTTCAATGGCTCCTCAGCTAGAGGTGGGTACTAGTGAGCCCTTCCAACCTCAAAGCTGAACACAGACTATAGCTCTGCAGGTAACCACAACTATGTGAGTTTATGAGTTCAGCAATCTTATTGTGCCTAGAAGATGCAGTTGCACTAGGATCCTCTGGTTCTTACAACCTTTTCATCCCCTCTCATAATGGACTCTGAGCCACTGAGGAGGAGTTATGATTTAATGTCCTATTTGTGCCTTAGCATGGAGTAAACATATTATGGAGTTTTCTAACTCTGAAATTAAAGGTTAATAAATAGCTGCTAGCAGGGAACAGCCATTCTCTATCCCTTGAAGAACTCAGAATGGGTTGACTTTTCTTGATGGGTCATCAGATAGCTATTGTTTGAAATAATCTAATGATGTATTTGTTAATAAAAGGGAAATTAAAACTTCTGATATCCACAAATAGCTACCATGTTAAACAAACTGTATTCAATGCAGGGGCAACCAGGTTAGCCTCATCTTGGAAAAACTGTGGTTTTGAGCTGAACTAGTTTGACTAATGATGCTTTTCCAAGGAAGCATTTCAGAGATCAGCAGTCCAACTGCCACCACAAAAGGGTTTTGGGTTGTTAAACTAAATGCTGCCTTTAGGGCTGATTCTCCTATGATCATTTCATTTAAGACACTTGTGCCACTGAATTTCCTTTTGGTAAAACTGAAAATAGATTTTTTAAAATATAATACAATACAGTTTGATTATGGTTTTCTCTCCCCCAACTCCTACAGGATCCTCCTCTACTCCCCACCCACCCAAATTCACCTCTCTCTGTCTCTCTCATTCTCTCTCTCCCTCCCCCTCTCTTTCATACATATTCATAGATATTGAAAAAAATAATAAATATGATAAAATATAAGTACGAACTAAAACAGGATGAAGCAAACAATCTGGAGCAAGAGATCCAAAGGAAAAGCACAAGAAACACATATAGATACGCACATGCACACACACACACACACACACACACACATCCCCACATGCAGAAATCCCATAAAACACATAATACATATGCAAAAAATGTGTAAGCAAAAAAGAAAACAGACTACTGCCCAGAGAAAGCATCAAGAGTCGAGGAATGTTGAGAAAATGGTATTGAGCTTGCTTTGTGTTGTGCTGGGCATGGGATCCACCCTTAAGAGTGGTCTGTATACTAGTGAGACTTTACTTAAGAAAACTATTTTTCCCTTGTGAGCAGTTATCAGTTTGAAATAGTTTCTAGGTTAGAAATGGGGCCTTCTGTCTACTTTCCCTTTCAGTGCTGGAATCCCCTCTGGCATCTTACATGTGCAAGGGGTGTGCATGCTGTTCCAGTCTCTGTGCAGTCATAATTATGAAAGTTTGATTGATTCAGCAAGCCTTGTTTCCTTGGTGTTTTCCCTGCCCTCTGATTCTTGCAATCATTTCTCCTTCCTCTTCTAGAGTTCTCTGAGCTTTGATCCTTTTCTAATGTCTGTGACCTCATAAGATTGGAGCACCAGACTAGGTTTCTAGTACCAGATATAATTTCTATCCTGTTGAGTGCGCCTTAAGTCCAAGTAGACAGCTGTTGGTTGCCATCAACATGTGAGTGCCACTTACTGTACTCTGATGCATGTCTATCCCTGTTGGCAATTGTCATGGTTCATAGGTGTTGCAGCTGCGTAAGATTGTTTAATTGCTTCTCTCCCTTGGCAGATTTCATAGTATTTTGTGGAATTGTGGAAGCTAGACCACAGGAAAGAGACTTTCAGGTCAGATCCAGCTTGAATCATCTGAGTCCTGTGTTTTAAGTGTGATATGTCTTTAGCAATTGGGGCCCTCCCTTAACCCCTGGGAGGCAA